ATATAGTCTTTTTAAACGTGTTAGGGACGAAAACGTAACAAAATCATATTACAAGGACGGTCCGAGTGCAAAAAAAAAAAAGTTAGGGACCAAACATGCAATTTTGACCAAACCATAGGACAATCAGTAATTTGTTCATAAATAAATAAATATTTACTAATAATCAGACATGAAGATTCGTATAGATGATATTCTCTCTCTCTCTCTCTCTCTCTCTCTCTCTCTCTCTCTCTCTCTCTCTCTCTCTCTCTCTCTCTCTCTCTCTCTCAATAATCCTTCATGGAAATGATATTATGTTTATTTATGCCTCCGAAAATCTCTCCATTTGTTTTGCATTGCAAGAATATAGAAAAATCTACAAGACAATTTGCAAATGTTCGTTCACCCTTTTCCGAAGAGGTTTGTCTTCCTCTTTGGACCTCTCTCTCTCTCTCCCTCCCTCTCTCTCTCTCCCCATTGATGAACCTCCCAAAACTCACATACATGTACAGGTTTCAAAATTCTTTTTTCAGATCCCAAACTATATGCATGCATATGATCTTTATATCAACCATTGAATCAACATCAAAAACGTACGTTGTGGGTTCATACCCTTTTCATCCATTTGCAGTTCTAAAGAGGAGGAGTTAGAAGGGATTGTGAGAGATTTTTCAAGATCATCACCAACTTTCATTTTCCTGATCAAAATCTTTGGAAAATTTGTGATCTTTAGATTGAATCAAGATTGGCCCATGATTGAGGATGTCTTCTCAATCCCTAACCGATGACCACAAAACATCACAAAACACCACTACGTGTGTGTATCAGACACAAGTTGGTGGCTCTAGCAGGAATGTAACGGTTGTTTGGGAGAAAAACACCATGAATCATTCCCTGGATATCTCCATAGATAGTGTGTCATCTGAGGTTCATCCGAATCACAAGATCGACCTCAAACCATGGTGTTTTTGGGCAAAAAAGGGTTGCAAAACAATAGAAGTTGACTCGTATCAGATTGAGCTTTATTGGGATTTTCGGTCAGCAAACTATCTTGCGTCGCCCGAGCCATGCTCGGACTTTTATGTGGCATTGATTCATGAAGAAGAAGTTGTGTTGTTGATAGGTGACATGAAAGAGAAGGTATACAGGAAGACGCAAACACGCCCTGCAGAAGTGGAAGCTGCCTTGGTTTTCAAGAAAGAGCATATCTTCGGGAAGAAAAGCTTTATGACACGGGCAAAATTCGACCCGAATGGGAAAGAATGTGAGATTGTGGTGGAGAGGTCGCCTGTAGGGTGTAAAGACCCTGAGATGTGGATCAGAGTTGATGGGATCGTGGTGATCCACATTAAAAACTTGCAGTGGAAGTTTCGTGGAAACCAGACTGTCTTGATCAACAAGCAACCAATTGAGGTCTTTTGGGATGTGCACACTTGGCTTTTTTCCAATCGTGGATCGGGTCATGGGTTGTTTGTATTCAAGCATGATCAACAAGAGTCGGATAATGATCACCGAGACGATGATAAGCAAAGTGGGCGTGGGACTGGAGACAAAGACAACGACAAAGACAACGAATGCAGTGTTAGTTCAAATAGTTCAACAAAATTACGATTATGTCTTATTCTTTACGCTTGGATGATTGACTGATCAAGTAGGTACATATATACAAGTATATATATATAAAGTATTATTCAACCGTAGATTGGAAAATCAACATGAGAATTGAGATATGTACATTTGTTCTCGATGAAGCATAGGGCTATATGAAGCATATAATATGTGATTATGGTTTGCTAGTTGTTACCTGAGAATATAATATGCAAATGTGCAACAATTGTGAGTAGATGGATAATCAAATGTGACATAGGACGAAGCCATGCACATTAACTATATTCCTAACTAGAGGCATTACATAATTGATAGAAAATCTGAATTTCACATGATGTTCATTAAGAAAGATTGAAATCAAGCCCAAACTGATAGAATTTAGCTAGAATTTCGATGACTTGTTATCAAACCAAACTCCATGTAACATATCAGGTCTTCTTCATATGAGGTATCTTTGAATGTGATGTAAAGAGAAAGAGAACACAAGCGTACAAGCCGTTCAAAAAAAAAAGAACACAAGTCTACAAACATTTTCAAAGTTTACAAAAGGATCCGTTGTTTAATTAAGGAAACTTTTGTTTTTGACAAGTTCGATCGAAAATTTGAAATCCGAAATAAAATCTAAAACAACTAAAATTCACTTCTTATTAAGACATAGCATGATTGTATTGAAGAGTGGAGGATTGATTCAAAGCACTTGACTAAAACCAATTCAAAATTGTTATAATCTTTAGCATTTGTTTCTTCCTATATATTTTCTAGGCAGTACTTTCTCTTTTACTTTGAATTTTGCATTCTCTTGAAGCCTAAAATTAAAGGCATTAGCTTCTCAATAAAATCATCAACCGTGTCAGTTTTCATTGTCTTCCTTCCAAAATTCCCAACATTCTCAATTAGAGCACCAAATTTAAATTTCAACCTACGCCTCTCCAATATATTAAATTACACATAACATCCAAATTCAAAAAAAAATAATAATAACATCCAAATTCAAAAAAAAAAAAAAATACAACGCTATTTGTTATCGTTATTGTTACCATAGAAGATATAATCTGTCAAGTCTTCTCGAAGTTGTCTGTGTTTATTTGCGTCCTGAATGTCAACAACGCGATGCAAATACTTTGTTGTTCCTGGTTGAAACTGAACGTCTATGGGCTCCGTTGGGATATAGTGTGCAATATTTTGTCATTTATCTTCTACTACCATGTTATGCATTATGATACATGCATACATG